TGGACTCGCTGGGCGAGAGCATCCGCCGCCTGACGGCCCCCGCGGTGAGTGCCCCGCGCCCGCGGAGCGCCGCGATCCAGCCCCGGCCCCGGCCCCCCTCCGCGCCGCGCAGAACCGCCGGCGGCTCCGCGGGGTCGGGTCCGTGTCGCGAAGGGGGCGGCGGTGCCCGCGTCCTCTCGCCGCCGCAGCCCTCTGCCCCGCCGTGCCCTCCCCGGCTGCGGGGTGCCGGCCCCGCAAAGCGGCGGGAGAGGGGATCTGGGCAGCCCGGTGCTGGAAATGGGGGGGGGAGGCAGAGGGACACGCTGCTCCCGGCTTAGCTGGGTTTTCCGTTTCTCCCGACTCCTTTTCTGAATTAAAAAAATCGTAAAATCGTAAAGTGCTGAGAGCTGTCTGGCCCCTGCAACATTTTTGTATAAAAAGTTACATCTATATGATGCACGGCACGCACGTTATTCCTTCGGCGTACAAGAGACGTGAACTTCTTACATTTATAGGGCTTTTCCTTACTGAACACGGTAAAACCAAAGTTTTGACTTAGTGTTCAGAAATATTTCAGCAACAGATTTCCCTGTGCCTCCCAGATGCGCTGACATTCCTGAGAGATCAGTTTCTCTAAAGTGTACTTTAAAATCTATGATTTATGATTATCAGGATAGCTACACCTGTAGCTGAGAATCAGTGAAGCATTGCGTATGCTGAAATAAGCAGTGAATTTGGGTAGAACCCGTAACGTGTGCTGGTGTCGCTTTGTAAGACTGAAATCGGTGGCTCAGGAGTTCTGATAGGTTCCTGCAAAATAGAAGATCCTTCTTCAGCCCTTCCTGTTGCAATTGTGCTCCTCCAGATACCTCTGTGACCGTCACTAAATTTTCCTCATGAAAGTTTCAGCTGCAACTGAATGCTTGTTTGGTCTCTGAGACATTTTAACATGTTAAGGTATAAAACATTAATTGCAACAAGTAGTCTTAATCTGTAAGACAACTATATCTGCTGTTGCGGCATTGGATCATCTTTTTGCATATTGTTATCCAGCTTTGGAAATTACCAGACTTGCGAGTCTCATCATCACCAGCTATCAGTTTGGTTTGGTTTTAATATTCTTTTTTTTTGTTCAGTGTTTCTTGAATTGGCTCGACAGGAGTAGACAAGCTGTTTAGTGGGAGAAATTAGCCTGCATTACAAGCTAATAGTCCGGCCAGTTTCAGCTAAGACTTTTATTTCCCATTGATTTTTCCCACTCCACTGGGAATCTGGTCTTGTAATGCTGATATTAATAGATGGTATCTCAGGTGACTTGTCTTGTTTTAGTAGAAAAAAAAAATGAAGCTATTTAATTTGGTAATAATACAACGGTATAATTAGAGCATGTGTTACCCAAAATATTTGAAGAATTCTGAAGTAGCTCAGTGCAGTATTTTTAGATAACCTTAGTATTTGTATTTTCTCAGCTTTGACTGTTACCTCCTGAATTAAGTTTTCTAAAAGACAATTAGTTTTACAGCTTTGATGAGTTGGTGAATTTGTTTTTTAAATGAGCACATTCTTTGAATTAAGAGACGAGGAAAACTTTGATAGATTTTATGGTCCTCTTTCCTTCCTGCTCTCAGAGAAATTTCATTTAAGAATGCAAAAATTTCGTCCAGCCTGGTTTTGGTGTCCCAAACAACAGCTTCCATGGCTTTCTTGGAAGATAATTATGGCAACCGGTATTCCTGAAAAATCGTGGGTTTTTTTTTTAAATCTAATATGAGATACATATTGCTTAAAATTTCCCTTTTTGTCTTGTCATTGTAACTTGTGCTTCACTCCCATCTTACACGTTTTGGCATAAATTAATGTGGTTAAGTCTAAAAAGTCATGTAGTCACAGGCAGTGTATGAGAAAAGAATCAGGTGGGTCCCCTTTCTTTTCATTTTTCACTTCGAGAAATCACTGCTCAGGTGCATTGTTATTTTGGTGCATTCTTTTCTTATTGAGAATCTGTGCTGTGATATTGACTATATGCCTTCTTGCAACAAGTCAAGTCACCATATGTCTAACAATCTGAATCTGATTATTTTGGCACATCTGTTAATATAAATCAGGAATAACTTTAATTAGAACTAAAAAAAAAAATACTTTGCCTATAAAATTAGTGTCAAATGAGACTCATTCCCATTATTTGTAAAATTAAAAGGCAAGTCCGAAGGGTGCATTAACTTATGCTCTTTCTGAACAAAAAGCCTTCACACTTTTACTACAGATACAGTTTTATCTTCATTCCATGATACTATAGATACAGGTCCCTGTTGAGTGTATAGATATATATTTATGTACATACGAGTGTCTGTGAATGTACATACTATGTATATTGCCTGCAATGGCTGGATGTTTTCCTTTCCAACATGAATGTAGGAGCAATTTGTCCCCATCCCAGTATTGAACACTTCCAAAGTTGAAGGATGCTACAGGTTCCTGGTGTTTATACTTAGCCTTAATTTTGTACTTTCTTTCGACAACGGCCGGGATTGAGACACTGAGTAAAATTTTTGTGTGTGTGTGTTTTCACTGAGAAAATAAATCTTTCTGTGTGTTTAATACTGCTGTGACAGGCAGAGAGATCTCTGGGGTGATGCTGCTTCAATGTGGCAGTAGCAGGGGCTACTGAGAGCAGCTCTGGGGCTACGGGGAGCCTCAGACTGAGCAGGAGGGAGCATGTGAGGGGCGAAGGAGCTGAGCAAGGTCTCTCTCCATGGGGCAGAGCGGCAAGAAGGCTGTGCAAGCAGGCTAGGTCTTGTGAGTGGCAGTGCAAAGATGTGTGTGAAAATATTAGTACCGCCTGTGCAATGTATTTATGAGTTAGCACAACTGTACCGTGAAGGGAAAGAGATTCTGTAGAGTAAAATACAGCAATGAAGCATTTGAGATATTTTCTACTAAAATATAGCAAAAAGAAGTTACTGTATTTTGTACCACGTGTGATCTTGGACTCAAGCTTTAGCTGAGTGTGACTTTGCACAAATGTTACTTTTTGTGGAACTGTGGGAAAAGTGAACCTTCCTGTGTTGCAGTGTTTAACCCAACCCTTCTGCTGGTTCCTGGAGAACAGCTTCTAGCACTTTCCAGCACACACGATTATCCAACTTTTTTCTTAAATACATTTTTCCTGCAGTTGCTGTACTAGAGGATGTAGGGGTCTGATCCTCAATCACCACAGGTCATTTTATGTTCCTGTGAGCTCCTAAAGGCTTCCTGACATGCCTGGATGGCTGAAGGATGGACATTGTTCATCTGGCACTTGCTTACCCCAAGCCCTCTATTTTTTAACAGTCAGAACTAGGAGGATAATAAGGCTCACCTCCACCAAAACAGCTGCATATTTTGGAGAAAAGTGTGTGGTGATGAAGAAGATGAGGAGACCTCCATGTGTCCCCTACTGTTGGCATTCATGAGTAGGGTGTGTGGGGAAGGTCGGGGAGGCAGGGTGCACGGGCAGGGAGGCAGAGCAGCAGCGATGCAAGAAGAGAGGCAACTTTTTCTCACAGCTGCACTCAACAAACTAACTGTGCACATACTCAACAACGCTTCGAGTTGCTGCCCTGTTGCCCCACAGGTGAACAGCTGTGCTGACAGCAGGAGGGTTGAGGCTCCCCCAGATGCCAGGCACAGCGGGTGCTGCACACCAAAGAGTCAGGGGAACCGTGCCCAGCCAGGGCTGTGCCCAGCGCCTGAGCGTGAAGTGATGTTTTGTGGAATCAAACTTAGCTGCTCAGTGCAATAACACCTGGACATTGCGCACACTCAGCTCTTGTATCTCACCTGTATCTCACAAGACCATGGCCAACAGTGCCCCATGTTTGTTACCCCCGTCAGGCACTGCCCTCCCCTGTGGGAACACCCACAGCCTGTGGTGTTCCCACAAAGCTGAGCCCCTAATTGTGTAGCCGGCTCCTATCCACCCTAACATCTTCCTAAATCGTGTTCCTGACTGACCAAAGGTGTTCCTTCTGACCTCCTTCATCTGAACCACCACCAAAGGGTCTTTGGTTACATACTCTGTCAGAGAAATCTGGAGCTAGATCCAGCTGCAGTCAAAACAAACAGGTGCCCTTCTCACTGGGCTGGGTTCAGGTTTTTGGAGATAAATAATAAAATGCTGGGAACCTAGTAAGGACACTGATTTATCACCTGGTTTTAAGAAGTCAGCTGCAATAATTTCATGTACATCACAAGCAAATTAAACGATATATTTTACTGTTAATTTCAGCTTTATTTTTGTGTTCCGTTTCAAGGAATGCATTTTACACCCACTATGACATAAATTTTGATAACTAGAGATGATGATACTATATGCTATTCATTATCAACATATTTTTTTTTGCCTTTTAGAGCTCTGCTATGTGGGAATGATATCCTGGCACCAGTGGACACAGTTTTATTCTGTAGAAATGCCATTTACTGAATCTTACTGAATTCCAGTTCCTTGCAGCGATTTTCACATTTGCTCCAGTTCTATCTTGACTTGTATCCAATACGAGGCTGAAAATAGAATCAAAATCAGAAAAAAAAAAAAAAAAGCCACTGATTTGAAAAGTCAAATACTCAGCTCCCATCTAAGGGGCATGGACTACCCTAAAGCATCTGAGAGTGACTGGGCATGCATTCAGAGGAGACTGCGTACCCCCAAGCGCTGTACTGATCCTTCTGGAAAGAGAATTACAGCATGACCCAGCATTAAACTGACTTACATTTCCCTTTGATTTTATTTTCTGAATGGCCTGTGCAACGCATCTCTTCAACTTATAAACATTATTAAGTGAAAATCGCTTCTCGTATACTTTCCTGTTCATTCAGAATTATTCCTGCTATTCTTTAAGGGCCCAGTTGAAGACACATTTAAGTAAGAACACTTTTTTCCTATTTAAATGAGGAAGCTGCTACTGGCTGCTGCCAAGTAATTTGAATTTAAGAACTGTTGTTTTGAACACAGCCTTTTTCCTAACAGTGGGAGAAAAGTGAACCTAAAGAATGTTGTGTAGGCTATTACTTATATCACAGAACCACT